AACAAAGCACACAAAGCTGCTCCTGCTAGAGAGTTTCCGCTGAGCCCATGGCAGGCACAGGTCCCCTCGAGTTGCCCACGTGCCCAGAAACCCATGTCTGTTGCCACTGAGTTACCCTTTGGAGCAGCCGACGCTGTCACCATCAGAGGCAACCACTGAGTGATGCAGGAATACTGAACACCCTGTGTGCCCCTGTGCCTGCCCTGCCTGCCGGTTCCAGCATCCTAATGGCTTCAGTGAGGAGTTAAGTGATTTGTGATCCAGATTCCAAATACCCCAGTCTGTCAGTCCCTCCCTCTGGCTCCTGGCATCCATGTGCAGTTTGTAAGTCTTGTTCAAATTTGCACAAAAACTTCCTATAGAATAAATGATCCACAGCTGCAAAAGGTGAGGACACATAGCCAACCTTAATATGGCAGCTGTGACACACACACACATTCAACATCAGTACTGAGTTTAAATTTATTTCTTAGATTTTTTTCCTAAGATAATTACAGAGCATGTATAACCTTATAAAACCCCAGTTGTTTTCTTCCTCACTGGCTTTTTTTTTTTTTTTTTTTGTGATTTGCCTACCTGTGAGTAGCATTCCGTAATTAGAAATTGAAGGCCACTTTTGGAGAATAAATATAAAGTGTTATTACAAGAGTCTTCTCTTTGCCAGACCATGCATTGCTGATGTATGAAAAAAATCACACAATAATGCAAACAACTTGGAAGCCAGTATCGGAGAAGAGCTCCAGAGGAACCTGTGTATGCTCCTCAACTGAAAAGGCAAATATGTTTAAAGACCCACCACCTCCCTGCAGTGACATGGGACTCCCAGCTGGCAGGGAGGGTGGAAGGGAGACACAACTTGTATGAGCCGCGGGCAGTGCTTCTCTGCTGCTGGCAGTGACGCTGAGCAAGCCATCTGATGCACACTAGGAAAGATTTGGGGTTCAACTTCGGACTGAACTCTGCTCAAAGCGATGCAATCATCCTCCCATCTTTCAGAGCACCAGCTGAACTGGGCCATTTACTGAGTGGAGCAGCAGAACAGCCCATTTCATCCCAGCAATACCTTTGTCAAGGACAACGCTCTTGATTTGTTTGAAAAGGCAGCTCTGTGCTAAGTGCAGAGAAGGTGAAGGCTTTTCTGAGAGGCCGGTAGCTGCTGCTGACATTCCCAACAGCATAGCCTCAGGGCACTTTGCCGAGCATCTGACTGCCTGATATCATGAATGTTTGGAGGCGTGGGCTGTTCAAAGAGGGGACATAAGAGAGACGATTCATTACAGACCTTTGACACTGGTGAGCACCAGTCACAGCACTGGGATGCAGTGCTCGGTGCTTGGTTTCAACAGCAACAGTTCTGCAAAAGCTTGAGGCACAGCAGGGCAGCTACAGACACGATACACTGGTATGTGGGCTTTCTCAAGCACGCTCGGGAGCAGTTGCCTCCCCGAGCAAGGGCTGTGTTCACAGCTCCCTGCCGACCCTGGGACAAGGGGCTTCCTGCGGCATGGCTGGGGCCGTCACCAGGCAGGGGGAACAGTCGCTTCCTTTCCCATCCCAGCTTCCTTCACAGCGCCAAGAGCAGAGCTTCACCGTGGCTGAAACTCACTTTCCATGCGGCATTTTTCACTTTTTTCTCAGATACCAAGTTATTTTGTCTCAAATTAGTGGAAGGGCACTTGGCTGGGACAGTTCCTCAGCCCTCTGACCCCTTGTAATGAGCAATGCAATGGACATGTGGGATTTCACTTCACCCTGTGTCACCATCATTAAACTAGCAGTCATTACTTCAGTGTCTCTTACTCTTCCTGCAGTCAGTCATTGTTCTATGAGAAAAAAAAAGAAAAGGGGGGGGGGGGGGGCAGGAAGGTCTGGGAATGCTTATATGTGTTTATTTTGCTTGCAGTACTCGAAATAAAATTTGTGGCTGCTTGCAGACTTTGCAAAGTGACCAGCAGCCAGTACTTGGTTTGTGAGCGTCTCCTTCCCTGGCCTGCGTGCCCAGCAGCCGTGCATCAGGAGGTGCCTCTGGCCACCCAGCACCACTCTCCCTGGCACACTGCCATCAGCCTGGCACAGCACATCATGCCCTTGAGCAGCCACCTGGTTCTGAGCGGGACCAACAGCAGCAGGCATCCTCCCCTGGCGAGTGAAATTTGCCTTTGCAGTGTGGTTCAAAGGAGCACGAGTCCCATGATGGCAAACTGTCCCATGGGACGTGGTCCTACGGTGGTCCTCCTTATTTTGCTTGGTAATAATTTAAACTTGTCTGTGAGTTACTATTATACAGTTAAGCGTAGCATGGAAAGTGAGGAGCAAGAAAGCAACTTAACTAATCCTAGGATGGCACTTGTGCCAGGCTCAGCTCCTTTTCAGAGTTATAATCCCTCTCTAGATGAAAGGGAAATATTTGCACTTGTACAGTATATCTCGTTTCCATTAGTGTGACCAATCTTCTCGAGTGGCTGTGCTGAGGCAATGACAAACACACAATGATTTGATTATCCCCTCACCAAGGGACGTGGCAAAATCTCAGCATTTAAAATATGTGTAGGGGGTTTGAGCCATCTAGGCGTGGGTGTTATTCACTAGCATGAGATCCAGTTTTCCAGTAATGCAAGTGACAGCCAGTATTGAGTGGAAATTGATTATCTGTGTGAAGCAAGGATTAAAAATAGAAGCTTTGTGTCAAACCCCACGTATGTTTTGACTAAATCCTAGATAACTAGAAGAATGGATAAAAGACAGAGATTATACAGAGAACACCAAAAACCAAGAAGCCAGGATTAAAGAAGAAAAGGATTTGAGTGGGTTAGTGCAATTAATGATTGTCAAGTGCCATCCTTGCATCCAGCTGGGATTGCTGCAGCTTCTTCTGGGTACATCTTGCGTTACAGGTGCTTTGATCTCCAAACCTGCAAGAGGCACTTCCAATTCATGGCACTAAACACCTGAGGCTCAGTTCAGTTCAGGTCAAGGTTCAGGGGGCTCATGGTCAGTTTTTGAACCATCCACCACTGTAAGTCAATTATTTTGAATTATTAGAAACTCTTCCCTATAATAAGACCTGGAACATTCCCAGAAAGGATGGGTTATCCTGAAAAGGGGTGTCCACAGCCATGTCCCTCGATAGAAGTCTACAATACTCCTTATGCTGGAAAGCTAATGCAGTTTTACGACCTTTTTGTTTCAATGACCTGTAAGCACTTGAAATGTATTTTTTTTCTTCTGTGACTAGCGCTCAGCAGTTCCCCAAGGGATGTGCGTTGACTGTCCCAGGACAACCAAGAACTGCAGAGTTTATGGCCTAAGGAATGTCTGCTCCAAATCACGCAGTTTGCCCTTGCAGTGCTTCATACCATGTGAGGGTCTGTTATCATCACATTTTATAGCATCCGCTGTGATTACTGCAACGATCTAAAATCACCTAACACACAATTACTGCTTTCACAAGAGGAAGTACTTCACCAGACAAGGCAAGAGTTACAAATAAAATAATTTTATTGAGTTTCTGCTTCTATAGCATGTGGCACATAAAGAGAATTAAGACACAAGGTGTGATGAGAAATTACGTATTTGTCCTTCACTGAACAAAGGATTCATCTTATCCAGAAAAACAATACAAACAAATACCCTTCTCTGCTAATCATGATGATCAGTGAAGGCTGATGCTGTGACATTTAGGAAAATGGAAACTGAAGTTGACCTGAAGATTGTGGCCAACGTATGCAGTTCTGCTAACTTGATGTGAGGAGAAATGGCTGCCTTGCTAGCAAATTTTATTTTAACTCGAAACCAAAATATTTGCATTTACTTAATTTAATTACAGTGGAACAAACAGCACTAATGTACTTAACTCAGAGAAAAATCCACCATGAGGAAGTGTCCAAAATCCGCAGCTGTCTGATAAAGATCGGCTGATTTAGCTGTGTTTGCAAAGCTAGTACTTGGGATGTTATAACTTGATTTTTGGCCTCTGCAGCCAAGGAACCAGCAAAGTTTCATTTTTTCAAAACTTGATCTTCCTCCAGGGTTTGGGCCTTAGAAACTTTTTTCATTAAGGAAGTGCTGATAGTTCAAGAAAAAAGTTTGGAAGCTTTTTTAGTATTGGTTGTGTTTCTGTATTTCCCTTTACCCTTTTGTTCACCTTTTATTACTAGGATGATATAAGAAATAAAGATCTAGTGTTCATGCAAGGATGTCACCTATTTCTGTAACATCTTTCCCCCTTTATGTCCGAACCCCACTTGTGGCAACGCAGTTCTCTCCACTCCGCTCCAGATAACATGGTGATGTACGGGGGGAATGAGCAGCAGCTACGAAGGGGTCTCAAGAAACTGTTCATGCAAGTAGCTCTAGGGAGACTTCAAATACAGGGAAAAAACAGTTTTTCCCCCCTGAGGAACCAACGGCATTTTTTCTATATGACAAAAGGAATTTGGGATACACACTGCACAAACTTCTAACAGCTCAAGAACACCTCTACATGAACAGGAAACCTGTGAACACGCTGCCGGATTTGGGCTGACCACAAGAGCAAAGAGCTGCTCGCAGATCAGAAGTCGTCTCTCGCGTCTTTCGCTGTTGCTCTTCTAAGTGGGCACAGATAGTGCAGCAGGGCCGGTCCAGCTGTCCCCTCTCCTGGCCACCTGTGCTGTCCGTAGACACTCAGAGCATCTTTGCACTTTTCCAGCCTTTGTACACACTAAAAACTATTTTACATGTTATTTTACAGACCAAACTTCTAGCTCATGTCTCAGTCCACCTTCTTCCTCTGGAAACAGATCCATACAGTAAAAGCCACAAAAAAAACATTACCTTGGGAGACATATTAGACAAAGACATATTTGACCACAAAACGTGTTTCTGCCTTTACTTACGCAGGAACAACTAGACTGGAAAGTCTCGCTGCTGCCACTGCCACTCAGCAACAAATTACTGAGACTGTAGGCCAAGTGCAAAAATAACTTGGTTTAGTCCCATTTTACTTGCTGTGCTCTGTATCATGGTGTGGGTGGTGGTTTAGGCGAGGGACAGGAACCCTGGCTGTCAAAGCTTGCTGCCCGGCCTTGCCACTGGTGGGAGAAAAAAGAAAGCAAGTCTAAGCAAACGGGAGAGATTATTTGAAATTCTTCACATCCCTTTACCACGTTGCCTGTCTCCTGTTCTGCGGTATTCTCATCTGCTCTACAGCATGTTTCAACTTATTGAACGCCTGTGTTTAACCACTCAGGAAGAATTACTGAACAATTTACTTTATTGCTTTGTAAATCAATTCACAGTCGTGAGGACTGCTCACAAGAAAGGAAAAATAAACAGTATCTGTATGTGCTATGAAGACAAAGTTTGCTCTCAGTTTAGCTTTCTGGTGTTTCCTGGTTTAGTGCTGTTGCCTTTTTGTTTTAGAAATACTGCCTAATTGCAAAATCACTTGAGTCTTTCCAGTCTGGTAATTTGACTACACAGAAGCTACATCCACAGTGCCAGAGACATTTCTTAAAGTGAAAATCAGATCAGAGAGTCAGTGGATGTAGCAAACATTTTTTTGCCATGCTTATGGGATCATAAATTATTAGTCATCTGCCTTGGGGGCTATTATTATAATTCAAAACTATTACTCCTCATTTTGAGTACTTGTCCATCTCACCATCTTGTTTTATTAAATTCCAATGACAAATGATAGACATCTCCCAGAGACAACAGGAGGCATAGTACTTCCACTGCTCCGTCCTCCCCCCGGATCAATTCCCTCCTCTCCTACATAAGCAGAAACTCTTTGCTGGCTAATATTAATGCTCTAGCATGTATGAATTTCACTTCTGTAGGTGAAAACTCATTTGGCAAATGGAACTTCACCCTTGCCTTGGCAAAGGCATTTCAAATGAAGCACAACTGAAAATGAGAGAACAGGATGGCTGCATGGTGCTCACAGGAAGGCTGAGCAAGCCAAACAACCATGTGCAGATGCTGTCAGTGTCAGCAATAACGAAGTGCCTGGGGCCGTGGTGGCCGTGCCTCCTGCCTGCTCCGGGGGTGCATCCCCCTGCAGCTCCAGGCCTCCCTGGCTTGCTGTGTGCTGGGGGGTTGCAACCCTACAGGTACCCCTCAGTGACAGTCGGTAACACGCCACAGGGTCTTGCTGTCCACGGGATGGCTGCTCATCAGCGCTGGCCCTTTCTGGGTCAGGTCTGCCCTTGCAGCACACGGAGCACACTCATGTCCATTTGAAGCCAGCTGGCAGAAGCTGGGTTTTATCATTCGCTTCACAAGTGTGCATTTTGATGGTTACAAAGTAGGGGCAGAGATAGGGTCAAGAATTCAGCCAAATTCCTCACCCAAAGAGACCAGTCAGTGTAAAGTAACTCACCGCACAGGTTTGCATTATACAGACTATATTTCATCAGGGCTGAGCAGAAATTAATAAATGAAGAAGCTGGAAAGGTTGTCCTTCCAAACAGGCTACCTTAAGGTAAGAAAACAGTTTCTTCTATGTTTCTCATGTCAGACGTATTTGCTAAAATCCTTGAGGAATTGATAATATGGATACAACCTCCCCATGAGAATTACCAATAAAACAGCAGATAAGCAGAAATTACAATAGAAATGGGCTTTTGGCAGAGCCCTCAGCATGCTCCTTGCATTGTTCTGCCTGCAGTTACAGTGACAATGTTTGCTACTCCAAAAATGTGATGAAAACTCTCCCAAGAGTAGGTTCAAGTGACCACTATGCCATGAGGAACCTGGAGATACTTCTCCTTCATTTAATTAGAAAAGGTGTACCATCCATTGTGGATGATAACAGTCAGAAACTAGGAACAGTTCAATGAAAGTCAAACATGCCCAAAAGTCTGGAAGAGGCTGGTTTTGCATATCTTTAAAGATAAATGACTGTTCTTCATTATGGGCATGACGTAGCTCTCAGCAAAGTTAGCAGTTTTTATCTGGAGAAATAGTTCAAACAAATAAATGCTCCCGTGCTGAATGTCAGAGGGACTTGGCAACATCAAAGACCCATTTTGCATTGCACTGGTGATGCTGCTCTACAATATCAGACAGAGTTTGTCTTTCACAGATAACAGAGAAATTTCCAATTATTTTCAGAGTCCCCTTCAAAGTCTGGAAAGACATGCTGTAATTTTATATTTCTTTTTACAGACACTTTACTTAACCTGGCTGATGGATGTATTGAGAAATGCAGAAGAAATGGCAATAGGTGGGATGGCTGAAGCACACCTGGGAGACTGAGGCCACTGCGGCAGGTGCCAGCAGGACCTTGGGGCTGAAAAATGGGAACAGGTTTATGCTGAGAGCAAGAGTTCATTGTCAGAATAACTACAAAATGCAACAGCAAGTGGGATTCTCATCTTCTGCTCACAAACTCTCCTTCTAAACAGCTGTGTGAGGAGGATAGTACTTAGAAGCCTGTAATTAATGATTCATTTGCACATGTTCTCTTCTTAATGATGATGGTCATTAAAGAAGTGCAATCCTTACAGTTTGTTCCTCACTGTTGACAAATATGGAGCAACCAAAGACATGAAATGTAACAGAAGCAAGTTTCCCTTAAGACTCCAGCAATGAAAGAGAAGAAAGAGCAACACTGGCTCATGGAGAAAGGGCCCAAGTCACGCCACCAACCCTGAAATTAGGTTTTTGGGCCATGTTAGCACAGCACTGCAGCTGGTGGAACAGGCTCGATGCTGCCCAGGGTCGTCATGTTGGACAGGCAAGGAACCATGCCTGCAACGCAGGAGGAGGCCGGTGGCCCGGCCCAGGGAGCGCAGCCCCAAGGGCACCGGCATCCATCCATCCATCCCACACCGCTGTGGTGGGGAGCCAGGGGCCGGGACCGGGGCCGGTCAGTCCTCCTAGTGCAACACGCCTCTGGTGACAGTTTTCCTGGTAACTTCACCAGAACCTGTGATTCTGAGCTGTAGTCAAAATATGGCATAAGCCCCTTTTTTGGACCAGAGTTTTTTCAAAGCATACCAGACAGGGCAGTACGCATGTAGGCTAGTAAAGAAATTCCAGATTCCCCACCCTTTTCTTCACCCATCTGCAGTCCTGAGCTGTGTGGTGAGGGGAGGGGGCCAGGACATATAGCTGCGGAGCAGCACGGGGGAGACGGCAGCAGGCGCTGAACAGCTCTGTGCTCCCAGGTTAACAGCTCTGTGCTCCCAGGTTAACAGCTCCAGTCACCCATTGCTTAATTTATACATTCAAAAAGACAATTCAATCCTAGCTTTCTTGCTTTCAGTTTAAGATCAAGCACTCAATCAGGAAAGACACTGAAGTACAGCAGAGGCTGTTACTAATCACTAGAGCAAACAGAGAAGAGCATGAAGATCAACTAGAAAGCAAATGCTCCATTTGCTGCTGCCCAGCTGCAAACGCTCTTGAAGAGGAAGATGACCACTCAGGATGCCAGCACAGCCTGAGCTCACCCACATGAAGATACAAGGGTGAAAAAGGGATGGAGGGTCAGCAGCTTCTCCCCCAGCATCTGCATTCAAGAGTAGATGGACCGGGGAGCTGGCAGTCCACAGGCCCTGGACCCATGGAGCTGGCAGGTGGCTCTGCCGCAGCGCATGGCTGCGACCCTCGGCTTCCCCCGCCCAGCGCACACCCTCCTGGCCCGGATGGCCTCCATGTGCACGGAGACCCGGAGCTGACGATACAGGATACAAAGCCCAAATTACTTTTAAAAGATGCACAAACACATAAGGGAAAGATGATGCCATTAGCTGTAACCAACAAATACCGTTTCCCATTCTCTTCTCTCCAGGACCTGTGACTTTTTCTGTTTGTTTGTTTTTAAGCTGCACTAGGGATTTGCAGTCAGCAGTGCTAAAACTTAAAAGGGCAAATAAATACAGGGACCATTTGCTTGCTGGCTCTGTGCACCAGCTTGTGGCAGAAATACTGGAACAGATGATCAGAGGTTTTTTTTTTTTTCTTTTCTTTTAAGCAGAGCTCCTGACCTGTGCACTGCAGGGTGAAATGATTCACGTGGGGTTTTTTTCCAAAGTCTTGGGGGCTCGGCAGTGGTTTTCAAAGTATATTTTAGAAGGTGAGTCATCTTACATGCCTGCCTTTGTTTCTCTGAGTTTTATCACAATAATTATGCCTTTCTTTTTTTCCTATTGATTATCAAAAACTTTACAGGAGTCTTTCTTTCAAACTCCCACCTGCACCTGAAAAATAGTGTATCAAAGTCATGTAAATTACAAACTGGAGAAGGAACCCCTGCCCCTGGGTCAGGCGTGGCAGCTGGCACCATGCTGAGAGGTGCTGCGGGTGATACAGGCGTTGAGCTAACCAATCGAATGACAGATCACTAAGCATTTATGCTGAAACTCAGCGGTCGCTGATCCCCAGCTCTTCGTGGCAGTGTGAGATGGCATATGCTGCCTGCCCAAACAGCTATGGCTCACGTGACGATGCCAGTGTTCTAGCGTGGAAAGGCTAATGAAAGCCTGGTACTGCTCACCACCCAAAGGCAATATTACTGTTATACACAAATTGCACATTGATTTAATTCTGTTTTGATTTACACCAGTTCTGCACAGCTGACCCTGGGTGGTTACTCCTGATTTACAGTGGTGCAACATGAGATCCTGAAACACCTAATCCGAGTGAGTGCGAATTTTCATATTTCCATTATCTGATATATGTATCTCCACTGTGTCTTAAACTAAGATATTAATTGCCAGATTTTTCCCACTGGGTGTAACTTGACCTGGGTCTAGGAAGCGAGGATATTCCTCTGATAAATCCTGGCTCTGGACAGGACCCTACAGCCACGTTTCATCTGCGATAGAGAAATGCCCACCAAGGGACGCAGCAGTAATGAAAACCGCTGCAGAGCTCTGCGCGGGTGGCTGGCTGGCCTCACCTCGCACGGCTGCTGCTTACAAATGCTTGGGGAAAGAAACAAACCTGCAGATGAAGCAGACCTGCCTCTGGGATCGGCACGTCTGAATTTCAGAAACCAGCCTGATGAATATGAGCTAGGATAGGAAGCACTGAGCACAAACTGTATTCTTCTTAGTGGCAAGAGCAGATTTCAAAGAAACATAGGGTTTGATGCATACTAATTCACACTACTGTGAAGGATCACCAAGCCTAGTATCTGCCTTCCCGTAGAGCTCAGTATCTGAACTTCAAAGGGAAAATAACATGCTTTTTGTTATGTACTTAGTCTGTGGCTTTAAGTGAAAATGCCTCCTTAGCCCCAGATGCAGTGGAAGGTTTTATTGCCTTTATTATAGTATCATTGACCACAAATGCTGGCTTTCTTTTCATACCTGAAGTGTCAATAGCATGTGTGCCATTTTCCACATCTCCTCCTCCAGAATTTATGACCTAAATCAGGCAAAACCCAAAGAGTTCTATAGGAGCATGAGAAAATGGAGTGCGATGAGGAAGAAAATGCTGGAGATGGTCAAAATGGTACCCAGGCATTTCAGCCCTATTTTATCATCTGGGGCTGCATCAAGTGAATGTTATTCTCTGGAGATGCTTAGAGCAATTACATTTGTTCTATTTATTCTCCCTCAAAGGCTTGGAGATGAGTCAACAGAAAAAACTTTTAGGATGAAAAAATTGAAACTTGAAATAGGCGATATCCCTGGACAATTTGTTCTGCAATCAGAACAGCATTCTCTTTCCTTACTGCTCTCAATCTCTAATTAAAAAAAAAAAAGGAAAGAAAAAAAAATACGGTAACAGTCACATCTGTAAATACAGTCCCTTTCATTCTTGCTTGGAAGTTCAAGGAGCTATTTTGAGACAATACAGAGATGCTTGTTTTCTAGAGTTCATTTCTGGTGAGAAAATTCCCTCAGCTCTTGTCAGAAATTCCCAAGTGAGAGTAGAAGCTCTCTGAAAGCCTTGAACCAGCTTAGTCATGCACAGCGCATGCATTAAAAGGAAAGAATAACTCCACACACCTCTTTGAAAGACTTCTTTACCTCCACTAATGGATGCCAGTGTGCGATGGGCTTGCGTGGGTATGCCAGCATCTCATTCCAGTGGTCTCTGCCCAGTCCTTCAGCACTGATCCCCACGCGGCATACTCCAATAATCTCGTTGTGACCCACTCTGAAGAACAATAGAAAAGCAACATGATTATCTCTTGCGCAGACTGTCCGTACGCTGTCTAACTGAGACTTCTGACCCCATGTTATCAGAGTGCCATGAGGCACGGTGCTAGCGAACATGGGCTGTCGTATCTGCATGACGACAGTCAGATCTTGTCTGCTACTGTCAGCGCACGCAGCCCCCAGCACAGTGAGGCACTGCCATCGCCAGAAATAATTATAACAACTTTAAAATTATTTGAACTGTAGATCAGTCCAGATACAGAACCTGGAAGGACATGTGATGTAGTGGTGTACAGCAAGAATAAGTACAAGTTCAGTAATGGACAATTCACACACCAGTTGCGGCTCAGAGTGAGACCACTTGCTTTCTAAAATGGGATGACGGTTTGCAGGACAAGCAAATAGCAAAGGGGAACACAGTACTCACTCAAGAAAATGCCATAAAGGACCAGCTTTACCATGCTTACTATTCTAGCAGGTAATTTTCCATAAGCATAAATAACAATGATGCTTTAACAATAAATCACTAGAGACAGATTGATGCCACAGAGTTGTGCAATCAAGGGCATGATACTAAGGAAAATGGCTATTGAGCAGGAAAACCTGCACCCAATGGGATGTTTTCCCCTCCAGCTCTCCAGAGCCTCCCACCTACCGATCGTAATCCATGACGGAGATAAGCAGACTGACTTGATCCATGTTCTCTGGGGGAATGTCAAAGATTATTGCTTCATTGTAAGTGGGATTAAGTGTGTTTTTCTTTATGGTGGTTTTCTTCTTTTTCAGTCTTCGCCCATCACAGAGCAAAGACACTTTGACATATGGATCTGGAGAGGAAGAGATAGGAAAAGGCCTTCTGTTTATGGAGGTTTATTTTGTTACCATCACAATATAGAAACAGCATTATCAAAGGACGGACTGTAAATCACCATGAGCCAAAGGCACTCCTCGAATGTACTTTTAGAAAAAGGGATGTCTGTGTACCCATCGAACCCACCATTTCTTGTACCAGTGTGAGTGCTGACATGAGGTTCAGGCACTGGAGAACCAGCAATGCAGTCTTCTTGGAAGGAAAAATCAGCCGTTTCCACCAGTTTTTCTGTGATAAGGGTTTGCAAGTGTAAGAAGGCCCCATCTCAAACTAAGAGCCCATATCCATTAGAAGATGATACCAGGCACTGGGCACTCAGGCATTCTAGCTTGCATTAATTGCATGGCCACAAACAGCAAGCCCAGTGCTTTCTCTGAAGCAAAACCATAACTTTTTCAAAATTTGCCTAAGAGAGCAAAATGTAATGCAGCATTTTGATGATCCAAACAGGCAGAGGGGGGTATTTTACAGGGCTCCTTTCCTGCACTGCTACCAAAACTATCCAATTGCTAACATTATGTAGCAGTTACAGTGAGTAGGGGAATTTTAAAACCCATTTTCCCAATGTCAGAGAGTAGCAGAAAGAAAAGGTATTAGGGCAGCTCTGCTTCACATGCTTTCCACTGGCTGATCATGGCAGAATGCCCTCAAGTTACAAACAGCTCCTGTTTGCTGTAACGGCTGCTCAGGCGATTTCAATGCATGTTCAAGTAACAGTAAACGTGTAATGTATTATTACAGAAATGCTGAGCTGGCTTCATCTGAAGTCTCAATTCTCAGACATTTCATATGGCATCAAACTCCAACTGAGTAGAAATGTTTTCTGCAAAGATCTTTTACTGTATTGTTACTGCCTTTTATACAAGTCATCAATGAAATTCAAATACTATGATGTTGAGCTCTGGAAAAGAAACTGCTTTTTATGTTGAAATCCAGAATTTATGCATGCTGAATTTGCAAGCCAACTCTTTGGAACTGTGAATGCATACAGTCTTCAGGTGACTTTCATCCTAATGTTTGAGTACTGGCCACTGTACAGAGGAATGCATACTCACCTGGGATTTACCCAGGTGTCCCATGACCCTTTCCTAATCTTGGGGTGAAATGATTGATTCTTGCTGTAGGGGGTTATCTGATGGAAAAATCCCTACTCACATAAAACTGCTAGGGTCAGTATCTGCAACAGATCTGAAGCATCCAACCCAAGAGATGCATCGGAGCTTTGACTCTGCAAACCCTCCCGTGGGGATGGGAAACCACTGGCAGTCTCCTTGAAGAGTATATTCAGGTATATAATCACCCTCCCTGGATTTGTGCCCTTGGGAACGGGTTTAAAAGATAATTCTACTTTTAAAATTTTGTGCATACTTAAAACATGGACAAAGCTTTGTCAGGTGTTTCAGTGACGATACAGCCTTGGCATCAAGAGACATATGCCCACTACCCGTTGAGGCTACCCTGAGGGAGAAGGAACAAGTGTGGATGCAATGGGGTCCTTCTCAGCAATTGAGCACCTACCTGAGTAACCAGTGATATCCATAGCTTTGAGATTCCTGCATTTAATGACTGTTAAGGTGAGGCGACCTGCAGTTGGCAAATAACAAAGGGAAAACATGATCTCTCCCAGGTCCACGCTTTCCTTTAATAAAACAGAGAACACATTATATTGGAAATGTTCAAGAACCAGCTAGGCTGCCTCCACCCTCCACCAGAATGCTTCATGCAGGATTCATGCAGCACTCACACTGAAACAGGCTTTTCTCTATTCTGTCATTTTCAAGTGAACGACACTTTACTATATGGCAGTGCTGTGGAATTTATTTTCCAGTGTATCCAAACATTATTTGGCTAAAAATGAATATAGGGAACAGGAAAAAAAGGTGTGTCCAAATGTTACAGCTTCAAATCACAGTTAAGGCTAATCTTCCACTGCCTCAATATGTGCTTCCTCTTACAACATTACAGCTAATGCACTCCTCTTTTTCTGCTCCATGGCTTACACAGAAGTGAAGTGATATCTAACACCAATGAAGGCCATTAAGGAAATCATATTAGTATCAAGTTTCGCTTGAATGTACAGTATAAATCTTCTAGTGCCCAGTGTGTGACACTAACATCTATTTCCTCAAATGGAGAAATACCAAACACAGAACGAGATCACAGGAAGATAAGACCTTAACATGCAGCGGTGCCATAATTCTCTCGTTGTACACTGCAACAAATGCAACGAGTGACTTTCTAGTACACCTGCTGCCATCGGTTCAGTAATAGAGGTTTACAGACTTTCTTGGTGCCTAACATTTTGGCAGAGAATGCAGACGGCTCTGAGTCACACGATGATTTTCTCTGGAGTTGAGCATGAATTACTAGGTAGTTACAGACCAGGTCATAGCTTTAATACAGAAGAGAACCATGAAGGGCTCCATTTAGTAGCAATTGAGCTTTTAGGTTGTGACATGCTTACCATCATTTGGACCACCAACCCCTTTGAGATGCCTTCAAAGAGCTAACAAATGCAGTATGAGGCATGTAGATGTATGTATATAAATAGTGAATTAATCAGCAGACGGCACTCAGAAATGTTTGGTAGTTTCCAGATTACACAGAGGCAAATGCAATTTACTCTTTTAGTGCCCCATAAAACAACTTTTACACATAGCTCTTAGCACCTCTTGTACATGCAACCTTATATACTAAACCTCCTAAAAGCCCATTCCATCATTGCCTTGCTCATGGGAATTCAGGGGGGAAAAAAAACCAAACCAAAAGTAGTATTTAAACTAGAAAGCATTATCATCTGAAGTCAGCAGAAAGATTTCCAAATACCTTCCAAAAATGGATTTAAAAAAAAAAATCTCTTATTTTGTACATACAGATCCCACATCTGTAGAGCAAACAACCCATTTATTTTTGGAAACAGAGTATTTGATTCATTTCAATACGATATAATGATCTGCTGAAAAGAAACTGTAGTTGCTAGTAGTAGAGTGATGGAACTAAAAAGGCAAGTAAATGCATTAGGCACTTAAAGCTTTGCTAAGTGTTAGGAGAATAGATCTTGTTGATGGATGAGATTTTTGCCAAATGATTTCCTTCTCATTCTCTGGTAAGGCAAAGATTAGATATTTATTCCACTTAGACATGCAGAATACTAATGAATGTTATATAAAAGTCTTGATTCTTGACAACACTTCACCTCACTAGCAAATAAATTGAATATCTTCTTAAGCATAAAGTGTACAAAAGAAACAGTGGCAGCCAAATGTTTTCTGGACAGAGCAATGTATGACTAGACTTGTAGGTATCTAAATAAACATTGTCTCAGAAGGTGCTATTTGCTGGTAAATAACCGTTTAATTCTCTGACCCACTCAGAGTTGCCACTCTGATCTCTTACTCATGAACTTACAATGAACCGATGGCATCCTAAACAGCTTTCCTTCCAATGCAACAAAATGATCTCAGGTCACAGCCTCATTGTCAGTGACCAGTAATGAAATAGGTGAAAACATTTACTGAGTTATTATTCCTCTACCTTTAGTACCTCTTGATGTGTACTTGATGTTACCAGGAGCTAAATTTCTTGCCTCACAAAATATTACCAAAGGTACCTTATTAAAGTACCAGAATCATTTTCATCACGCATGAAAGAGCTTTTAGAGGCCCTGCAGCTTCTAACTCTTGACTGCATTTCAGCTACGGCACCTTGAATGTAACGGGTGCCCCCGAGTCAGGCTGCTGTCTTGGAGGTAGAGCAGCAATGAACAACACCACTGAGTGCTCCAAAACGTTTGGTAGTTTTACCTTTTGTGTCATCTGTACCCTGAGAGCTGACCTGAGCCGCAGTTCATGCTGCCTGACTCCAATGTGGCCAATTTCAGAGGACAGAGAGCTGAGTATTTTATGGAGACTCATTCATTTACAGTGTCTTAAAATGACCACTCAAAAATCGTGTGCCCAAAATTACAATTTGCTTTTCAAAACATGGCATTTCTTGTTACCTTTAGAAGTATTCCTCTTTTAAGATGAATTGCTTTAAAAAACAAAGAGCCTGAATAAATAACTCTGCACTGAGGAGGCACTTCGTAAGGCATGTTCTGGAACCTGCTGCAAACAGTGCCACTGCATCAGAACTAAGCTTGAGGACTGGGATTGTACATTTTCACTTCAGTGTCTCCAGCTCCAGACACTGCATCTACCAGTTGTAGCTATAAACTTTACTGACAATAGAAAAGAATTTAAAATAAATATTCTGAAATTATGATTAGAAATGGTTGTTCTATTCCCAAATCTCACTGTGTGCCAGCTGCACTGGATGCTATGTCCACTGTGCAGTGCAACAGCAATTGGCATTCAGACGACACACTGGCTGGGTCTGTTCTTTCATACGTTCTTTGGTCTGTGTTGGTTTGGGAGGGACGAGAACAGGAAGCCTTGGACACAGATGTCAGAAGAGAGCAGCCCTATATGAGATTGTGAGAGCACCCTGTGGGCATCATCTCATCTTCTATTCCTCTCCTTGCACTGAAAGGACCTGTTCAGGGTATAAAACTAACATAAATTGTTCTTTGACCTCATTGTATTAGGTCAAGAGATTTTTCTTTGCAACCATAAATACAGGAGAGTAAAACATGTCCTGTGGGTACATTATTTTCTTGCAGATTATAGACATTGGGACATTTCCAAAATTCATATCAGTACCTCTCAGGAAATAATGGAAGCTCTGAATCAATAACCTTTGCAGATCTGAAACCAAAAATGTTTCACTGATTCACAAGCTGTACAATCATTAAATAAATAGTTGAGTGCTAGCTATTTGAATAGCTTATATCATTGCTTAAGTGCGTTCCTGTCAACCCACAGGATTGATCTAATGTATTATTAGTCACCTAGAGCTTTCCTTGGGTATTGTGAAAACTGTATTTACCCGTCTCATTTTTGATTAAACAGAAATGTCCTTGGGTGTGTTACAACTGGCTGAGATGTACCAATATTGGCCCATTCCCAAAGAATGGCACAGAGAGAATGAGGGGATGGAGCCAAATGCGGCACTCGACGTTTCTGTGGGAGCTCTGCAAGGCTGCTACACAATGTGTCTTGGGCATGATGTTGGTTCTGCTCCCCTCACACCTTCTTTGGAGGCTTCTCCCTCAACAACACTTCTTTTGGTGTCTCTCCACCTGTTTTTGTGGTGGTTTTTTTTTTTTTCCATTAAATTAGTTTACTTAGTCAGCTAGGAAAACATCCACTATTTCTTGCAGAACCATCCCAGCGAAATACAGAACATACACAGGTTAAAAACTCCATAACCTTCTCCTGCAGCTATGTGTTTTATGTGGTTTTCCTCTAGTGAGACCAAGTGTTACCCCTTCCCAGTTTCATTCCTGCCCACAGGTCTTTTCCCTCCGAACTCTTCAGGCTTACCACACTCTTTGTATGCTGATCATATAGCAAGGAAAGGGAAACTCCCTGCCACCACACAAGTGACTTCACCTCGGGATTCAACACCACGGCACATCACAGCCAGCCTGGCAGAGCTGACAGCAAGCTGAGTCTTCAGAGGCAGAGCGGATGCAAACAGGTAGATGCCTCCGAGAGGCATCCGCACATGTGAAGTACCTCGTTCTTCTCCTAGCAACCCTTTGCCAGGCGAGCGGATGTGCCTGATGCCTGCTTGCCTCTTTGCCAGCATTTTTCCTGTCATTACCATCCATTAATCATAACAGACGTGGCTATTTGTGGATTGAAAGCCAAGAGCTGTAAACACCCTGCTAACTAATACCATTGACTTTCCTCGTGGTTGATCCTGTGCCTCACTCCCACCTCGCTTGCAGGCAAGATGCTCAAAAGGCAACAGAGCTGCAGCTCATAGCACGCTTCCAGCAATACCCCGGGGTACCTGGCAGGCGTCACATATATCTTAGCATCCTTAGACAGGCATGGCAAAAGCTGTACTGCCACAGAAGCATGACAGCTACTCTCTGCACCCTACCAAGGCAGCTGCTAGCCCGAGAGCTCCCTACCAGGGCCAACACGCTGCATGCACGCCGTATTCCCTGCGATGCCCGAGCACTGAGCTCCCACACTGAGTCCCAGCTATGGCACCACAGCACAGTATACAGTGCTGCGCACACGTGTCAGACCTCACAGCTCTCTTAGAAAGTTATGAACACACTACAATGAAAGAACAAGTACTAATAGTAGTGACCAAGGGGTACAACTGGTGAGGAACATGGTACTGAGAAAAAAGCTGCAGAGAATTGCAAAGCAAATGTCTTTTAATACTGCTGACCACAATGCAATAAATATTCATTTTTGAAAGTTCATTCCCCAATACAGAAAGCGGGAGAGCAAAGGTATGAGATGAGCTACGAAGGAAGTTGCAAGACAGATTTTTGCAAGTCATGGGGTTATGCCAGTCACTAAGAAAGATTTGACAGGGCCCGTGCTTTCAGCCACAGGGGTGAGGACATCTTGTATTCCAGTTTCAGAAATAACAACATGAAATGACAAAGACGACGACTGACTTGGTGCCCAACTGCAAAGCAGTTCAATCATTTGTTTGCCCCCAGAACCAGCCAGGTCCTCCTGGGAGGACAGTGGAGGAGCAGACAGCTATTATGTAGAGGTTAATGTCATTGCTTCTGCACTCAGCGATCAATGTGAGAAGGTGGCTTCTCCTGCCAGCTCCCTGCAACACTGAAAGTGGCTGGGACATTTCCTTCTCTGATGTTTGGTTTCACTTTCAGCGAGAATTCAACAGAACTACTAAAAGACCCACATCAAGCTCTGGAAGAGTTGCCAGCAACACATCAGACAACACTCTCAGTACAGTAAAGCCCAGTACTTCCGATGGGTTGGTAGTGGCCCTCCAGAGCTAATTCTTACTGTTATCATGTGCACGTGGCAGACAATCAGAACCTGAGACCCTTCACATGTCGAAGGGATGCCAGACAGGGAACATACTAAACCCTCAGTTGTTTTTTTAGCAAAACTTATATCAGTGAGACTCACTGTGTGTGAGGTAACAGCAAGTCATTAAGTAAGGTGGTGAAATTCCAGTAAACCAGGATTCTGGTAAAGCTGACAGGCTTCTGAGTACAACAGCCTTTGCCACCCCTGCATACAATGGCTGTAGGTCCCCAGGGCTAACAGTACCATCTGCAGGGAGGCAACAAACCCATCAGCTGGCAGTTGTGCAGGACTTACCCCTTTAGGCTGGCCAGCCAAAAAGAGAAGCCCAACCCATCCTGCCCTGGAGCCGCTCCCCACACACTCAGTACCTGTCCTCCACACGCACAGGTACCACGCACCACGCTGCAGCACCATGCAGCAAATGCTCCCAGAGCAGGGATGACCCTCCAAAGCAGATACTCACCGTCGTCGCATACTGAATGTCCTTCCAGATGGAAGTCTCCCGGGAAAGGTCTGAGGCCTCAAACAGGTTCTCCAAGATAACTTCTCCTATCATGTCGTGTCTGGAGAACCTGTCAAAGTCAAAGACGCTCAGGTGGAGCTTCCTGCTCGCCAGCTCCTCATGGGGCACAGGGAAGTGGAAGGATTCATCGAAGGTGGGATTCAGAGTCTTCCGGTGGACTCGTGTCTGGAACTTGCGCTTTCTGTCCGGCAGGAGGTAGATCTTCACATAGGGATCTGAGCTGCCGCAGAAGTCTTTGGCTGGCAAGTCAAAAGCCCTGAGAATTCGGACAGTCAGCGTCTCATTCTCATAGTCGTACTTGAGAGTGAAGTTAATTTTCCCACAGGTTTTTGCTGCCTCTTTTTTGGGGTCCTCAGAGTCAATGGATTTTTGCTTATAGAGTTCGGGCTTAATGCGACCAATGCTGGTTGGCTGCTCAGCCACAGCCGGTGGGTCCATGCCATAGTCCATGCTGGATACGTGCATTTGCCGAGGAAGGTGCCTTTTGAAGGAGATGTGCCTGCAGGAGGAAGATACAACAGCTGTATGGTTTTCCAAGGACATTTTTCTCCTTTTTCTCCCCTGGACTACTAATGCTAGGAAAGCAGGGAGAGCACAAGAACGAGTGCAATAGGTGCTCCTGACCTCTGTACAGAAACCACGTATGTTATGGAAATTAACACTGAAGGGAACACCTCCAGTGGTCAAAGGAACCAATCCAGCAAATTCCCTAACTTTCAGAGTACTTGCAGCAAGCTGCATTTTTTCACCTGTTACACAAGTAACAGCCCACAGCTAAATATATGAGACCCAACAACTCCTTAACCAAGCCATAGACAACACAGTGTGGACAATCTTGATACTGGCACTACATTTTTGTCAGGCAGAAAAAACTTCTAAAGTGAGAGAACCACGACCAGCTCAGAAAGTTAAGTTTTGTTCTGGGTGTTGCTGCTTCCGCACTTCTCCAAGAGACTCTCATCAGAAACCAATAGATAATTCTTGACAGGGAGGAATGCACAGCCTCATCTGGAAGCTGTCTCTTGCCTTGAGCTCCCCTTCAGCACAAGTGAAACTGTAAGTAAGCAAAGCTTTATCTAAGCAAAGCATAAAAGCTTTCCGTGGACTCACAGCATTATTTCAGATTATCTGGTGTTTACAAGAGCAGTATATGGAGTTATTTAACCATACTAAGAACTTGTACAGCCAGAGCATTAGCTTTCAGTGATATGTGGTACTCAGAGACCTCACTTCTCCTTGGCAGGTTCCTCGAAGGCATTTTGGCCTGGGCTAGGCTGGGCTGTGAGTCAGAGATCCCAAACTGCTGAGGTTGTTCCCCAGTGTCCCCAGGTCTGGCTGCCTGCCTGTGGTTCACGGTAGGCTCTTCCACTTGAGAAAGTGGGTTTGAAACCTTCTCACATACAACCAAGTCCCACTTTGTCCTATTTCAGGCAGGCTGAGCTTTTGTTTTCTCCTCCATTGGAAAGGTGTAATAAAAGCAGAATGAGCGTGTGCATGAGAGAGAGGCAATCAGCTGTCCAAAATCGGTGCAGTTAAATAAAAGAGTATGTGGCACAATTGCAGGTGGCACCATGTTGATTTTAACTCCAGCTTCTTTAAACAGAAGGCTGTGATCGGTGCCTTATTAATTCTGCAATACTGCAGCCAATTTTCTGAGCAATGTCCGTATTCGCAGTTGCACTCTCGCACACATCATGGGCATGGCCAACAAAGCAAGCAGAAGTGTTGGGGCACAGCCAGGACCCTGTGATCACCCTTTCCTGTCCCAGTTTCACGGCCTTCTGTGTCAAGGAAGAGGTACCGTATTTCTCTGTATTCTTGCTGAGAAGGTGTCCCAAGGTTCAGACAGCCTTATCATGATTTACTGAGTATGATGTTGACACCTCTGTCCCTGGCTGAGACAGACATGCACTGAGCACAAGCACTGAGCGCAGCTGGTTCTAAGCTTGTGCAGTGAGTGATACGTCAATTCTGCTTATCTAATTGTTTCTGCTAGGAGCCACAACAACAAGAGAGAGCAAAAAGGTCTAACTCTGTCTGACAGCATACCATCATTGATACTTGAGCCTGCCTCTCACGTTGGAACAAAATTAAAGTGGCCAAAGCATACTGACGGTTTGACACAATGAGGACAAGTCACAGTAATAGGGCTTGAATCCTTCATTTTTTTAAAAGGTCCTACGGTAAGCCAGTCTTAACACATCAATTGATTAATGACCAATCTTTGGAAAGTAATCCAGCATGTAGATGGGAGTGCTTTCTTTAGCCTCTCTGAAGGTATCTGAACCTCAGGCTCCATTAAACGCTTCTCCCACCCTGCCAGCTGCCCCAAGGCACAGCATCCCTGCAGAGCGCAGCATCCCTGCAGAGCACTGCATCCCGCTCACCTGGTGGAAGACGCAGGCTCCGTTGTTTGCCTCTGGATCCGCGTGCGCCGCATGATGTGGTCTTTCATGGACATCTGGACCTCTGCGGGGATATCTGGCGATGTATGGCTGATCTTCACTGCTGCCTCTAAGAAACTTATGGCACCCGTGTCCTTGAGTTTGTCTGCCATGTTCTCCTTATTGCAGCCTGCCTCGCTCTGCAAGATGGCCAGGTTAGAAGAAATGGCCTTGTTCCTGCAGGGAACCCAGCACAGCTTCCAAAAGAGAAACAGAAAAACTGCCACCAAGGCCAGTCCACACACAATAACTATCACTGCAAGGAGGCTGACGGAGAGCTCTACAGGGGGAGAGAAGGCAACAGCAACAGGGAGAGGGGAGGAACGGGAAAGGAGAAAAGAAAAGAAAAAAGATGGTGAGAAAGCTATAATAAAAGGAAAGAAATGGTCCAAACTGACTTATATCACGACTAATGGAGAGCTCTTAGCAGGTTCTACAAGCAAGAGTCAAACCCAAGTGAGCATCCCCTGACAGATTCGGGACTGCTTCCTGCCCCAGACACATCTGGGGAGAAATGGGTGTCTCCAGATGGCCAGAGCTATGAAGTTTTATACCATGATGCTTACACTGGCTATAAAATATCATCCTTGGTTTGTTTTGTGGCATTGGCAAGCTGCTGAGTCTGAAATCGAGAAGAATTGCAGAATTGCATGATAGAAACAAGCTCCAGTGTTGTACCGGCAGAAACTGCCTTTTTGCTTCATACCACAGGTGTTCAGACACTATATTAAAAAAATCTATCTACCATGACCCTGGAAGCAGATTGTTGTTGTACTATCAATGCTCACATCTTGTCCAGATGTGCCTATAGGGAATAAAAAGTAAATACCAATTAAAAAAAAAAAAAATCACAAGATGCTGATGCAGTGAAACCAAACATAGAAGGAGGCTGTACAGAAAGTACTACACATTCTTCCTTATTCTGATAGCACAGAAGCTGTGTATGTTCTCTGACACTCTGAGTCACTTTTACCTCATATGCTATGTATTTCAGCATTTCAATCTTCTTCTGGAGAGGAAAGAGCTTCCATACCTATGGCTGAAGAATCAGGAAAAATGGGGGGGAGAGAGAGAGAGAGATGATCTAGGCTGTGAAATTATTCACAGCACTTCAAAAAGAGAAAATATTGGCTATTTTTAGTTCCTTTCTTACAATGTATTAATTCCCAGATTCCCACCTAAACCAAAATTCCAGGAGTTCAGAATCACAAAGAATACCAGTCCCTGAAGATGAAGACACGTTCTGCACTGGAGTTAAGTTTGCAGTGTTAGGACTACAGACGATTCAGTCGCAGATTGCTATGTGTTCAAGGACAATTCCTTGATTGCCTGCTGTGTTATTTGTAGTGACAGGTAGTAAAGCTATACTCTTTAAATTACCTAAGTGCAAGTCAGGACGGAAAGACAGGCAAAAAAATATCAAACACTCCAGAAGTTTATACAGAATAACCATTACCTCTTCCTCGCTTCTGTTTATGTGTATGCTTGGACCATAAATATTTTGCGTTACCACATGAAACAGACAGCAGCTACTTAATTCACTACTTGAGACGTGTGTATTTGTGAATTGTCTAGTAGTCACAGCTGAAATGACTCTTAGCAAGTATAACAAGACTCTCGTAAAATTAACTGAAGGAAGGCAGGACGAGGTGTAGCTGCTAGAAAGCAAGCACATCATGTGTGGAAGGGGATCAGCAGGACATGGCTGCTCGTCTCCTCCTGCAGCACGGGGCTGGTTCCCAAACCGGAGCTGAGCCCCCTGCTCCCCTGGAGCGGAGCCTGTGCTGGGTGGGAGGTGTGGGATGGCAGCCCTGTCCCAGCAGCTGACAGCTCGCAGCACGGCGGGACACGGCCGTCTGCGGCAGCACCCCCAGGATGGGACCCGGGTCTGTTCCTCCTCTGTGGGGTCTGCACAGCCTCCCTCAGCAGAGTGGCACAGAGCAGCCCTTTAGTCAAAGCTGGTCAACACTAAAGGTCACGGCTGCAGATACGAATATTTCAGCTTTGTCCATGGGAGCTGACAGCACCTCTTTAGATCATGCCTAAATGTACTTAAGGCAAACAGCTTCTCACTTCCAAGAGCTCTAAGAAACGCTAGACTGACTCAAAAACTGCATTTAAAACAATCATCTCCGACAAAATCCATCCTTACTAGGCAACTTAGCTCTTAGAAGATAAACCGGGAGACTCACATCTGTGCTTCATCACAGCTACTATAAATGTGATCCCTGACATATGCTTTACCTTAAATAGAAGTCATAAGATGATGACCTGTTTCCTTTGGTCACATAGTTTAGTTTTGTACAGCTGTAATAAGATATTTAATGTTTAAGGCAGAGAAAATCTATACAATATGAGGAAAGACTAAATTTTTATCTTGAAAAAATAGCTGAATTTAAAAATTATTTTAAAAAATTAAAAAAAAATTAAAAAAACCCCAACCACCATTGGTGAACCATAGCAGCAAAGTATTCAGGAACCCATTTATATCATCAAACTTTGCTAACATGCTGTCTGGGAATACAACAGCTACTCTATATTTAGGATTTTCGCATCAGTTCTTATAAGTGAAATCTCAAGGAAGCATCAGACACAAAATGTGACATCTACACCGGAATAAGGCAGTTCTGCTGAACACCTGGGAAACCATCTGTTGTTTCTGATATCCCAGAGGAAATGCACTGTTTTTCCACAAAATTACCTAGCTTAGCAAATTTACTAAGAGCTTGAGGCAAAGCTTCCTGACTGCCCACAGGTTCTTCGACTCGAAAGGAAGGCTGGAAGCTGCCAGCAGGTGCAGATGGAAAATAAATGCCATCCAGAAGTTTTTGCACTTTTCCTCTTCCTCACCAGCCTCCTGTACAGGTCAGACTGCACCATTTATTTTCTGCTGTAGCTCCAAGGTGGAAATACAGATCACTACTGGAGTGAATAAATAGGTCCTGTCTTATTCAATAATAAATAGGATTGTACAAGTCAGCAGTGGAGCTTCCTTGGAGATTTGGCTAAATATGTTCTCACCAAAGCAGAGAGCACAGAGGTACCACTTTCCTATACTTTGAGTTAAGTCTTGGAATTGTGCCCAGGAAACTCCGAGTCAAACAGTTTCATAAGAAAACTTAAGAACCTGGACTTTTTGCAAATATGTCTATGTTGTTACAAAGGAAATAGTTACAATGCAGAATCTATTACTGTTGGGAGCTGTTACGTGACAGAAAAGTTTCTGTTAAGATACTTCTGCCCATTCCAAGAAGTTATATAGCATGCATGAATCTGCTAGCACACCAAACTCATTAATGGAAAACATCAGAAATAACCAGTTATCCCTTCTGAAAACCTGTTGCCAGCTTGAGAAACATCTTAGTTCATGTCACTTCTTGCTGAGCTGGCATTCATAATGTATTTGACAGGATTCACAGATACATTTATGCATGACCTCCTATTCTTTCCTCTGACAGCTCACATGAAACACAAGTAGAAGGGATCAAGATTTTACAGACATTTTTTAAGCATCTGCCTGGGAAGAATATTGGTTTGTCTGAAGATGACACTGAATCCCCCAAGACTTTTTCATGACTTATTAAACTTACATATCAGTTGGACAGAGTTGACCTTAATTGATTTAATGAGCTTTCTCTTATAAATTTGAAAATACCAGTTACTTTTAAAAAAAATACCTAGTATTCAAAATGTTATGCTTTAAATGTCCTTTAACTTACAAGAAACTGTAAAAACAAGATAATTCCTTATCTCACAGAAAATGCCCCAGGACCAGAGGTTGCTTGGGTATTCCTGGCATGGATGGAGGTAAGGCCTGTTCCCCTAAAGACTTCTCCAAAGACAGCACAGACCAAAAGGACAGCTCAGCCCAGGGAAAAGATTAGCTCATTTGTTTATATTACCCCACCCTATGCAACGTTTGGAGCCAAGGCTTCCTGAGCGGAGGGTAAAGAGGGATGTGTCTGTGTCCGGCAGTAAGGAAGGGCTCTGTCTAACGCAGAGCGGCACAGGAGTAGCTCAGCCTCTGCTTTACCAAACGTTTCCCGTGCCGCAGCCAGCCCGTTGGAGCCCCCCCACTGCTCACAGCATCACCGTCCTCGGCAAGGGACAGAGGCACATTATCGCTCTGAGAAATGTCCCGTCTGAGGAAAAATACAACAAGAACTATGTTTCTATTCTATTCTCCTCTAAAAAAATAACAGAGAGTTATTTGTCACTTTGTTATCAGCTAAGTAGGGCTGTACAAGTGCAGAATGGCTTCAGCCATTCCTCACCCTGTTCTTATCTACCTCAGTGCTGGTACCTCATCCTAGCGCAGCTCCCTTGAGAGACACAGGAGAAATTGCCATGTTGGAAAATGGATTTTATTACAACTTGTAATTGAAAAGATAAAGCTTAAAAGGAGAAGGTGGCAAATACAAATTAACATGGCTATTTTCCAGTCTCGCTCCCCCCTAGGAGTGAGAACCCCTTCCCAGAGGAACCCTCAGCTGGAAACTGCTTTTGGCTACAGAGCAGCAATGACAAAGCTCTCGCATGACTAACAAGGAGGGAGGGGAGAACAAGCAGCAGGAAAGACATGGACACAGACATGAACATTTACCTGCATGAGCTGATACGCTTAGGATAAGGCACCGAGCTGTTATTTACCTAGTGGAACAGAGACGGCTCCTTCAGGGATGGTCTGCCTCGCTTATGAAGGTCTTTTTGAGGTAGAGGTTTAGCATGGTATGTAAAGCAAAAGAGAAATTGTGAATTTGTCTCCCCCTATGTTTCTGTGTCCACCTGAACTCCTCGGAGAACTGAGACTTTGTCCCAATCCCTACAGACACAAAGCACTATTACATCTCACAGCAATGCCCCAGAAGTGACCATTGATAGCCACCACCAACAGTCCTGGTCCTTCGCTGCAAAGCAGAGACCTTCACCAAAAGCATTTCCACACCAGGAGAACCGAGGAAGACTCCTCTCGGCCAGGAATGAGCTTTTGATGAGTTGAGCCACAGATTCCCCATCAGAGCAGCTGATGGAGAGAAACAGAGATTTCTAAACAAGAAAGCCACTTGCTGCCAGGATAGACAGGAGCCATGGGAAGGCCCACACAGCTCATGGTTTTTGCTCTGCTTTCCTTTAGTGAACAGGAGAAAGCAAGCCATACCTGAGAGGCTAATGCTAAATGATCATTTATCACCACTTATGCAGTAGGAGGTACCGTTAAACGTCAAAATTGAGTCAACGGAGACGCTGATCTCCCGCCCCTGCAGCCTGGCATAAGGGAAA